GAAAAATGAAGGAATAACATTTTTGTTTGACTGTATGATGTACAAGGACAACAATGAACATAAGCATGCTTGATGGATGATTGGCGGGATTATGCATAATTGAAAGTAATGATGTATAAACATAAACAGTTGGTAAATTCTTTTACACTGTAAAAATATCCAGAATGAGATAAGTGATTACATAAAGGTATATTGTTATTAAATAGGCAATCAAGAATGCAAGGAAATTAGGTTCGTTGAAAAGAAAGAAATACTAATCGTAATTTAATATATCTTGTACAATGAAAGTGAGGTATCTAGTTATATTAGACAGAAAATCTGTGATTTTATATGTAATTGAAAATATGGATGCAGAAAACGCTTGTAACCAAACAACATGCTGTGTATGTAATGGATGAGAATTTTTATGTTTAATTTAAAAAATATATATTTGGAAAAAAAAAAAGAAGTCGAGGCACCCAAACGGCTGACATGATTTTATGACATTTTTTGGCAGTAGGCATTAAGTGAACATGACAGTCGTTAAGCGAACCCATTTTCACAATGGACATTTTTTTTTTGACTGGAAACTGGAAATATCTTTTTTGGTGGTTTCTGGCAAAAAAAAAAAAAGTCATAAATTGTAATCATGGGATTAGAGGCCCCTGAAAACAGTTGCCAAGTGCCCAAAAATGTGATCACGCGAATGCAGAAGAGAAGCGGCCGTCGTAACTTTGAATCTGACTCATAAGTACTTTTTTAGGAGTCTATTATGACTTCAACCATAAGTTGAACCACAAATCATAAGTCGTGGGTCACCTGTAGTTTTGATCTGTTCTTAAGGTCTGGATATTGCTATTTACATCACTGCACACGTACCTTAGAAAGCAACCATAGGATCTGATGCTTTGATGAAAATGACAAAAGGAGCATCATCCTGATGTACATAGAAAAAGGGCGGAGCCTGTGTTATAATACTACAAAACTTGTTTGTTCTTTTGCTTTCCTTTCCATGAATTTCTGCTAGAAAATGACGCGTATGTGATATCTTTTCACAGGCAAACAAAATTTGGAAGGTAAATGGCCCAGGTTCATTGAGCCATTGGTCTAGCGCAGGGGCGTCAAACTCACAATTTCATCGAGGGCCGCATTGGGGTTGTGTTTGACCTCGGGGCCCAGGGGGACATGGCCAGCTCAATGACACTTGTTTTGGGGGCATCTGTGGTGGCACAGGAGGAGCAAAAATGGAACTCAGAAGTGTTCCATCTGCAGCCCTCCCGAGCTCCATTTCCGCTGGCAGAGCCACCGCAGGCCGGTCCTTCGCTGTTTCCAGGGTGGCCCCATGGGCCAGATCTGGCCCACGGGCCTTGAGTTTGACACCCCTGGTCTAGTGGTTAAGAGCACCAGGCTAGAAAACGTGAGTCTGGGAGTTCTAGTCCTGCATTAGGGATGAAAGTCTGCTGAAGGACAATGGGCCAGTCGTTCAATCAAACTTACCTCATGGGGTTGTGGTTTTGGGGGAAATGTGAAGAGGAAGGTGTGTTGGATACGTTCGCCACCTTGAGTTACATGTGAAAATAATAAAGGCAGGATACAAACAAACAAAGAAACAAACAAACAGGTAGTCCTTGACTTACAAGATCAATTTGAGTCCAAAATTACTGACCGTTGTTAAATGAGTTTTGCCCCATTGTATGAACTTTCTTTTGCCACAATTGGTAAGTGAATCACTGCAGTTGTTAAGTTAAACATACGGGTTTTGAAGTGAATCTGGCAATCCCATTGGTTTTGCTTGCCAGAAGGTGGCAAAAGGTATTCACAGGACCATGGGACACTACAACCATCATCCATACTATGCCGATTGGCAAGCATCCGAATTTTGCTCACATGAGCATGGGGATGCTGCAACAATTGTTAAGTGACAAATGTCCTTAGTTCACTTTTCCGGCGCTGTTGTAAGTTCAGATGGTTATTAAACAAATAGTTTTAAGTCGAGGATTACCTACATTAGATGGTTTGTTGCACATTGCTGTTATTCTTTCTGTCACCCAGATGGTTCACCAAACAAGGAACAAGATTCTAGGGGATGGGAGAGAAAGCTCACCTGCCAGGTTGGGAGAACTTTTCCAATGTCATTTAAGTTGATGCCATCTCCTTCTTCACCTTTTCCTTTGCCAATTCTAAACCAGGGATAGACAAATGGGTCAAGTAAAGCATGAATTATGTATTTTGTTTATTATCTATTAGGCGTATTTATATGGCTGACCAACTCACACACGGTGACTCTGGGTGGCTTACAAGATTAAAATTTCACAATGTAGGAATCCATAACACAGGCACAGACACACACACACACACACACACACACACACACCCACCAGTGGCTGCAACCACACAATC